CAGTGGAGCAGAGATACACATGAGAAGGTGGCTGCTCCTGAAGAGGCCCAGACTCTATGAGCAGTGTGTGCTGGAGCAGTTTGTGAGTGAGGGAACTGCAGCTGTGGGCAGACTCACATTGGACTTTTTCAGAGGACTTTTCTCCTGTGGTAATGGTGCCACATGAAAGCAGAGGAAGAGTGCAAGGAATCTTTCCTACTCCTGAAGAGGAAGGAGCTGCAGAGACCACATGGGGTGAACTGACTGCAACCCCCATTCCCGTTCCCCTGCACAGCTGGACAAAGCAGGGGAGGTGAAGAAATCGGGAACAAAGCTGAGCCAGGAGGGGTAGGGGAACAAAGCTGAAGAAGGGAGGGGTAGGGGAAGGTGTTGGACTTTAAGATCTTCTTTTACCTCTCACTGTTCTACTCTGATGGTATTGGTAACAAATTAAAACTGTTTTGTTTTTTCTCCCTATGATGAGTCTGTCTTTTGCCTGTGACTGTAAGTGGTGAGAAAAAGCCCTCTCAGTCCTTATTTTGTCTAACTCCCTTATGTGGGCATCGCGGTGCTCAGTTGCCCACTGTGTTTAAACCATGACAACAGGATACAATTTTTTGCCTCAGTTTTACAAGTAGTGACTTGGGACTTAGCAATACACAAATAATATAAAAGGTAGCAAACCAAAAGAGCTGATATGTTAATAACATGGAATACAGCTGGATCTCTGTATGTAGCTGTAAAACATTAAAGAACATACATCCAAAAAATAGTTAATAGAAATAATGATACTTTAAAATATTCCATTTTTCCTGTCTGTTAGTTTAAAATTGGACTATAAAATTCAAGGGGTATAAAGAGCAGATGCAGAAGAGAAAGTTGTAAAGAAAAATACTGTATAAAATACAAGTAAACTCTAGCTCTCCAGCTGATCTTACCTGGATCTGAGTAGAGTACCAAGCGTTTCTTAAAGTCTCTGTGATCCTCTTCTTTCTGATGACACACATTCAGTCAGAAACACAGTGGAGGGAACGACATCATATGTGACCATATAGTTCAAAATATCTAATTCCAGCATAGAAGAGATAATGCTGGTATTGCTTACTTTCCCACTGAAACCAATAAATACAATAAAAATCCAAGTAGTCTTTCCTCCAACTTGTGAACTGTACCATGCTTGAGATTAGCAGTGTTTCATAAAAGCCTGGGAGCAGATAAGAAGGTTCTTTGATTCAGGGGAAAATACAATGATACTGGCAACAAGTTCTGGCAGCCTCATATATTGTGATAGGGGAAGAAAAATTTTTTATGCTCATTATTTCTTCTCATTGGAAGCAGAGATTCTGGATCAGACCACTAGCATATATTTGTCAAGGAATACAGTAAACTTAGATAATGGTTTAAACTATTAGTTTGCATCCAGCTGTGAGTAAATTTGGAACATAAAATCAGAAGACAAAAAAATGTGAGAAGATGTAGAAAACCTCAAGATGTCATCTGTCCTTTATGCACAAAATCAGAACAGCCTATGTCTAGGTTTATGTTATTCCTGACAAATCATGCTTGGCATGAAGTTTCAGCTAATACCACTGTAAGCAGTTAACTGACTAAAGAACTTGAGTAAGCTATCTGCTTTTTTAATGTGAAAAAAGGAGGAAAAAAAAGAAAAGGACAACTTTTTTTGGAGGTTGTAGAACCGATTAGTTTTTCAAGTTTAAAATTTGGTCAAGAAAATTAAATTTTCACATCTATCTTTTTTTTAGATTGGTTCTGAAGAGTGTATTTTGATGAGGTATTCACAGCTTCATACTTACCTGCTTCAGTATATTAAGCAAATTGGTTTGTTACTCACTTTTTACGATAAGCAGTGGTGATACAGAATATGAGTAGGAAAACTAACAAAAAGACAGCAGCAGAAACTCCTCCAGCTATGTAGATAATAAACCATTTGTGATCCCAAGTTGCTGAAACACAATTGTAATAAATATCATTAGTATTTTGTATAAACTAGCTTGTACTTATTATGACATTATTCCATGACAGCTCATGCTCAATATTCAGACCTCACAATCCTTTTCTCATTTCTAAAATCTCCTTGTTGTGCTGAAATAACTCGCATGAAAGTTGCAACTGGGATGACCAGAGGTGAGTGAACACAGCATAGTGGTATAAAAAAAAAACAGTGATTCCTTGTATAATCCTTTCCTATCTCTTTCC